AAAAATGGAATGTACCTCGCACATGTGTTGTGAATTAATGTTATGATCACACGCACAGTGGTTTGAACAGTGTTTGGCACATAATAAGCACACAATGAATTTAGAGATTATAATTATGTGATCTTGTATAGAGATATTTTAATTATTATATTGTACTTGTATGATGGTATTTTTATATTATATAGTCATTTTATTATGAAATTCTGGGTGATAAGATTCTTTAAAATATGACTATTAGTCTAAGGTGTTCTGAAATGTGCCTTTGAAAACACACCTGCCTCTTAGAAGTTTTAAACCTCCTTTTCAGCTCCCTTTCCTGCTCCCCAAATTTGATGAGGTGTACGCCCGCTCCTACTGCTTCTCAGCCCACTATATCTACCACTTGCTTGTAAATGGATACAGATTCACGGAGGAGACCTGGCCCCACATACATTTTAAGAAAGAAGTAAGTCAAAGCACAAACTGTTTTCTCCTGTTCCTCCCAAAAGAGAGGTTTATATGTATGAGTGTGGAAGAAATGTAGAAGGTAAACAGGGTATTGGTGATTTTAAACTTGCTGGTGGAAGCTGATCAGATAGATCACTTGTGAGCTTCTCAGGAGAAGAGGTAATGGAGAATTTAAAGGAGTTGCTCACAGGAGACCCTTCCAGATGGGGAAAGAACTGGAAGCCAGGTCCGGTGGACTGTGAGCTCCTCAAGGGCAGAGATTGTCTTCATATTCCCAGCATTCAGCACAAGGGCTAGAACCTAGTAGGTGCTTAGTAAAGTTTTCTTGAATTAATAAATATGTTAAAGATCTGGGGCTTTTCATCCTTAAAAGAAACTTCAAATATAATTTAATTTTTAAGAGGATAGTAACTAATCGTTCTCCATTTTACACAGACATTATAGTAACATACAGAATTTGAAGCATAAGGAATTTACATTAGCATTAAATAAGAATTTTCTCTTTGTATGAATTTGAGGTCACTGACTTTACTGACAAAGTCTTGGGGGATGAGGAGGATCTTAGCTTAGTGTTTTATATATTTACATATTGAGTGACTAGAATGGTCCAAAGCTAGAATCATAGCTGTCAGGTGACTGAATGGTGAAGGGGCCTCCAGACCTTGTTTTCAGGCAGGACTCAGCCTTGCAAATATGCTCAGCCAACGCTATGTTCCCCAGGTTCCAGGAGGGTTTTTTTCATTTCAGGAATAGCTGATGTGAAGCCTGAGGGATATCTGGAGTCAGCCTGTTCAATACCAGCTTGGGCAACAATTAGATTAAACTAGTCAATATCCTGCATTAGGCCTCTGACTGTGTATATTTGTATAAATAAAATTGAATCATCTACAAAAAATAAGGATGTCTGGAGACATAAGAACTGTTGATGGCATGTACTCTCTAAGCTTTGCTTCTAATGAATCTAATAACCAGTAATGTACTAGGAATGAGAATGACTTTCCATTGAATACCAATTTGGATTGGTATTACATTCTAGGTCTAACATTTCATTCCTTTCATCATAAAGAATTTTATATCCAGCCAAATTAGTATTTAAATGTGAGGGCATAAAGACTTCAGAAGATTTGCCACACAAAGACTTATATTGAAAATATTTTTGGAGGAAGTATGGCTGGCTGGTTAGCTCAATTGATTACAGTGTGGTGTTGATAACACCAAGGTCCAGGGTTTAATCCCTGTCACCTGGACAGCTGACAAAAAAAATCAAACAAACAAACAAACAAAACATTTTTGTAGGAAGCAATCAAATAAAAAGAGAAGTAAATTCAGGAAATGTTACAAAAAT